TTTGAGGTGGAAGTTTAAATCTTGTAGAATTATTTCATGGGTAAATTACATTTGCCCAATAAAAACTAATAATTAAATGGTTTGAAGTTTTAATATTTAACTGTATTTATTTTTTTAATTTAATTATATTTAAAATGATTATTTGAAATAAATTTTAGGCTAATATATTAATTAAAAATTTAAATGGTTACCATCATCTAACCAAGTCATCCATGAATTGAAACGCTCTCGGGAGCTGAACCAAGGATTGGAGTTTATCATTTTCAATGATTTGTATAATTTAATTATTTAATTAGAAAACAAATTCAAGTATGTCTTTCTAGTCATTTTTAATTTACTGGATTAGTCTAAAACCATCATATAAATAGAACAATGTTTAATTTCTTTTAGAAAAGACAAATATCATTAAAAGTGAGAGGGGCACTCTCATAGCAAGAAGCTACAATGAGATCAATGTAACAAAAAAAGGAATAAAAAGGAACAGGAACCAAACATTAGAATACACGAATTAAGATAACAAATGTGTGAAAGGCGATACACTCCATTCTGCCTAGTTTCCACAGCTTGCGCCACCTCTATGCCTGCACCATATGTAGGAAAGCGAGATTATGTTGTCAGCGATTCTTATGGGATTCACACTAATTCGTTTGAAGATCTTCTCGTTTCTAGATAACCAAACATTCCAAATAGTACAGTAAAACACCATGATTAAAATCTCTTTCTTTTTAGGGCAGTTACCCCAAGCACCCGCAAAATCAATGAGTTCTCTAATATTTGAGAATGATTTGTCACCAATACCACACCATTTGAATATCCAAAGTTGCACCGATCTAGAATGCTCACATGTAATAATAAGATGGTCAACCGATTCAGTCACTTTATTGCACATGGGACACAGTGAGCATGGAGTATTAATTCCCCTTATTGCCAAGTTTTTTGCAACTGGAATTCTGCCTAATACCGCCTTCCATATGAAACAACGCACCTTTAGAGGAGTTATCTTTGACCACCAGATTGACTTCCCATTGTATGGAATTAGTTTAGACTCCAATAGCTTTCTCATAACTTTCACAGTATATTCACCACTGGTATTAAGAGTGAATCTGAAACCGAATTTGGAATTTTGCCCCGTATTCATATTCCCAATATCGTTATATAGCTGCAATAGTTCATTTAATTCATCAGGACCTGGTGGTTCGAATCTCCACATCCATGAAAAACCGATGCTAGAAGGTCTGTCCCCCAATTGACAGATTTTTACTGTTTCTAGCGAGTATGGGTGAGGAAATTTAAGATGAAACGGAGTATAGCTGCACCATGAGTTTTTCCAGAATAGAATTTTGACATCCGAACCAGGGTTAAGGGTAAAAATGTCATTGCAGTCGATCTGGAGCTTTTCAATGGATTTGACCGCTTTGGAAATATTGCACCACACTCCATTTGATGATTTCCTCACAATGTATGAAGTCAGTCTATTGTGTAAATTATGAATGCTTACAATGACTTCTTTCCAAAGACTACCATTTTCGTTCATGAGCCTCCACCACCATTTGAGTAGTAGTGCAGTGTTTTGAGCGAGTAAGGAGCCAACACCAAGACCCCCAACTGATTTTGGAGCGATAATTTTTGACCAATCAACCCAATGTATTTTCTTTTTAAGCTCATCATCCCCCCCCCCCCTAAGAATCTCCGCCTGATCTTGTCAAGTTGGTCTATGATCCCCTGTGGGGCTCTAAAAAGGGACATGTAGAACGTAGGAAGGCTGTCAAGCACAGATTTAATGAGAGTGAGGCGACCCCCAAACGACAAAGAGATAGCTTTCCAATTTGATAATTTGGAAGATATTTTATCAAGAATAGGTTTCCAGTACTTCTTCAGTGCCATATTAGCACCCACCGGAACCCCAGGTAAGTGAATGGAAATGATCCGTGTAAACACCCAAGCACCTGAGCAGTCTCTGACAAAATTGCATTCGGTACTCCCACATCAAATAAGCGTGATTTGAAGAAATTGACTTTTAGCCCAGAAGAAATGTGGAAACATTTCAAGATGCGATATAAGTTTTTGATGCTCTCTCGGTCCCATTCCCCAGCGAAAATCACATCATCAACGTAGAAAAGGTGTGAGATGGAAGGACCATCTCTTGGTAGTTTGACCCCACGGATTAGAGATTTATCACAAACACTCTTTATGGCAATATTTAGTCCTTCCATGGCCAAGATGAAGAGGAATGGTGAAAGCGGATCACCTTGTCGAACCCCTCTAGATATTGAAAATTCGTCAGTAGGTGCACCATTCACCAAAACGGATGCTTTTGATGAGGATAAGCAACCCGATATCCACTTCCTCCATTTGCAGCCAAATTTCATTTGATCCATGACCGAGTCCAAATACCCCCAATTGATTGAGTTAAAAGCTTTTTCGAAATCAAACTTGAATAGTAATATTTTTTTCTTCTGTTGCTTTGCCCATGACTTTAGATTCTTTCACTGCTCCCTTAAACTCAAAAATAGGAAGGATAATATTCATGGGATTATGGTGAACGGGAGTTGGGTCACCGAGGCATAACCTATAAAAGCGGAGACCTTGCGCTTTTCAGAGACAAATTTCATGAAAATCATACTGTCCACCCCCTCTCATTAGTTCCAACTTTTAAAAACTTTGCGAGGAAGACCATATTTTCTTGGAAATTAACTTTGAGGTGGAAGAAATTAAGGACACAATTTGAAATTGCGATAATGATAAGGCCCCGGGCCCGAACGGGTTCACCTTTGAATTCATAAAGCGATATTGGAGTTTGATGCAAGAAGATATCATGAAGTTTATAGATAATTTGAAGTTAGTGGGCGTCTTGTTAGAGGGTGTTTCTCTTCTTTAATCACTCTTGTTCCCAAATGCAAAGATCCTCTGACTCTAAATGATTGCATGCCAATTAGCCTTTTTGGTTGTATGTACAAAATTCTTGCAAAGGCTTTGGATTCTCGTGTGAAAAAGGTCATCGGTTCCATCATTGATGAGGTGCAAATTGGTTTCATAAAGGGGCGAAATATCATGGATGGTCCAATGATCATCAATGAGATATGTGCTTGGGCTAAACGAGCTAAGAAAAATGTCTTCCTTTTTAAAGTCGATTTTGAAAAGGCTTTCGATTCCTTAAATTGGAACTATCTGAACTCTGTTATCGCTCAAATAGGGTTCAATGACCGTTGGCGTTTTTGGATTAGAGGATGTATCGCCTCCTCTCGTGCTTATATTCTCATCAACGGCTCCGCGGACAACGAATTCAAAATCACAAAAGGAGTGCGGCAAGGAGACCCCCTGTTCCCTTTCCTCTTTATCATAGTCATGGAGGGTTTGAATGTCGCCATGCGCTCCACTTGACAGAGCTCGTTGTTCCAAGGGATTCAAATACCCAACTCGAGTCCTTCAATTTCACACTTTTTTTATGCTAATGATGCTCTTTTTGTAGGTGATTGAAGTAACTCGAATTTTGCAAACCTAGCTCGTATTCTCAGATGTTTCCATGCTACCTTCTGGCTTAAAGTTAATTTCTCCAAGTCAAATGTATGCGATATTAGTGTTTCAAGCAACGATACGACCTCTTGTGCAAATATTCTTGGATGTGAGCCAGCCTCCCTCCCTTTCACATATCTATATGTTCCGGTTGGATCTAACATGTGTCTCAAGCATAACTGGAAGACGGTAATTAATTGGGTACAAAATAGACTTTCGGTTTGGAAGGCCAAGACCCTTTCTTTTAGGGGTAGGCTTACCTTGGTTAAATCTTTGGGCATCCTCCCCTATTCTATTTCTCCATATTCAAAGCTCCTTTCTCTATTATCGAGTACATTAAAAAAATTTGTAGGCGGTTTCTATGGGGTGGGAGTGAGGAAAAACATAAGATTCATTGAGTCGCTTGGAGTGTTGTTCTCATTAGTAACAATGACGGTGGATTGGGGGTGGGTCCCTGAAAAGTAGCAACATTGCTCTCCTTTGCAAGTGGTTGTGGCACCTCAAAACTAAATGCAACTCTCTTTGGACCCGCGTTATCACTAGTATACATAATATTTCGGGAAAACCAACCACAAATCTGGCAAAAAAAAGCCTTCCCGGGTGTTTGGAGCCATATTCTTAAGATGATAGATGTTCTTGTGGAGCTTGATATTGAACTATCTGATATTTTCTCTTGTAATGTTGGCTCTGGTTATCGAACACTCTTTTGGCTATATAATTGGCATGGTAACAAGGTTTTTGCCAATAGATTCCCTAATATCTCTAACCTTGATAAAAAG